GAATATTCGATTTCTACACATGGGCAGGAATTAAGCGCCCCTTTCTGCTGATTGGTCAGCTGAACATCAAACCGTGCCGTCATCAGTTCTTCCACAGTTTCGCGCGGCAGAATAATAGCTGCAGTTGTACGGATTCTCAACATGTTTATTGCAACTACATTTCCTTTTTTTCTCATCAAATCAACCAGATTAATGAATAGCTCGACACAACCCGTACTGGAGCAGAGCCTAGACAGGGCTTTCTTCTGTGAATTCACCTGCGCACTCACACACTGGACTGCAACACAAGATTTTTATGAATATAGGCTAATAACTTGCCATTTCGGTTTGTTTCTCACCAAACCCCACAGTATACCCTTCAGAACCCTTGGAATCTACTTCGGCACGAGTTGCATAGGATTATTTTACGACACATTAAAAAAAAGTGAAAGACACGATTCTCTGCCATGGTGAGAAACAAACCGAAATGGCAAGTTATTATATTTTATGAAAATCTTGCGTTGCAGTGCGAGTGCGCAGCAGCTGACGCCACGCACAAGTACATATCCTTTTGAGATATCATATCAATTATAATCACTTTTAATAAAACACAAGACTACATTATAAAACTCTAACAGTAGGCGGCCATATCGTCCAGCCCTAATTAGCCTGTTTGTTTGATGAAAAAAGATGAAATGTAGTTGCAATAAATGTGTTAAGAATCAATACAACTGCAGCAGCAGAGGACTATTATTCTGCTGCGTGATACTGCAGAAGAACTGATGAAGGCAGGTTTGATCTTCGGCTGACCAATCAGCAGAAAGGGGCGTTTAATTCCCGCCCATGTGTAGAAATCGAATATTCAAGCTGTTTATTCATTTTTCTACCCCTGAACGAAAAACGAAAATTTAAGCTGAATTCTTGTTTTTCGTTTTTTGGAAAAAAAAAGAAAAAACGAAAAAGGAGCCGTTTTCTCATTTTTCTACTTTCAATATTAAATCAAAAAACGAATGATCGAATGATACACGGATTCATCTTCATCTCCATTTGATTGAGTAGGTTAGTTTGTGGACCTGGATCAATCAAAAGAGCTGACTGATCTTCATTCTTTATTTATCTAATGAACTCTCATCAACTGGACTTAAATTTCAGCCTAATCATGAGGTGCTTCTGTGTACATTTTGAAGCTTGAAAGCTCCAGTCCTCATTCTTTGTGATTACATGGAAATGAGCGACTAGAATGCCCTTCAAAAGTTATTCTTTTTTGTTCCACATTTGAAAGAAAGTCATATGAGCAAAAACAGAGCCAATGTGAACATATCTGATGTTTAAAATACAAAAATGTTGAGCAAGACTTTGGACCAATGAGATTTCAGTGTGGATGGAGCTACTCAGCGACTAACATAGACACCAAGAGCAGATCAAAACATGATGTCATGATGTGTGACACTGTTAAAGGAAAGAATGTATCCAAACTGAAATAGCCACAAAAACATTTGGCTGTATTTGGTTAAATAGTTAAAAAAAAAAACTAGTAAGAAAAATGTGGACAGAGACACCTTATTATAACCTTACCATAAAGCTAATTATAGTCGAGAGATTGTCATCACTGATATCATAATGTAACGTTGTAAAATAATAACGCTAATATGTGGATTTGCAAGGCACGGCAGATAAGGTTGTTTCAATTGTTTTGTTTCATTATCTGGCCGGACAAAGAGAGAGAAAGAAGCACCCGTTCGATAATAACTTCCATGAAAAACAGCAGCTCATTTGAACACAATTCACATTGACTGTGAGACATCCGGCCTGCGACTGACCTTTCCTTTTAGTCTTTATCAGGGAGGCCACAAGGGAAATGACAGCGCTTCAGTATGTCCAGTGCATTTCTGCACAGCAGTGATTCTATGCCGCGCATGCCAAAAATATTAGAAATATCTACAAGAAGAGTTAAATGTTTATTTTCTTTATGTATTTTTCATGTGACACTGACCTCCTACAACCCTCAATCCCGTTCATTCACAATATAATTTCATATAATGCCTATGAGGATCATTTTACAATTGTAAACATATTGTTAGCATTCATTTGTCAGATCGAAAACACTCTTGAATCTCAACTCTTAGGCCATTATGAAGCTATTCTTCCCCAGTCGCCCTTCAATCGATACACTTGAGCCACAGAGGAGGAATTAGCTCCTAATAAGCTGCAGATATTAAAGATCATTAAGCAACGCTTTCTGTACACTGTCTCTCTATAGATACTAGACTGGCTGCATTGTTGTGCAGCTTGTGCCGAGAGCTGTGGAGAGTACAGACGCTTGTCTTTTCGGTGCAAAGACTCACTTGAGGATGGACTAACTGGAAATGGGCCAATCGATGGAGTTGTGCCTTGAGCTTGCGGATAATCTCACGAATACCTCCAGCCCTCCCTTTTCCAAAATATCGCTGCTGTAAACAATGGTGATGTAATGATTTATTTTGTCACACTCATTCCAAGTGGAAATGATAAACATTCGTCTATGAGAACAGAGGCATGACTTTCATAATAAGAGTTGCATGATAAGTCATCTCCTGGTAATAGTGGCAGGGTCTCCCTTTAAAGAGGCAGTGAATGGATATGGGGCGCTGTAATAAAGATGTGAACAGCCCCTGTGAGGGGGAAGAACCTTTCTGCTTGGTACGCTACAAGCTTTTGGTAATTACCAGAGTGCCAGAGAGCATATGAATAAATTCATGAGCTCTGACTCAGGTAATTAACTCGTTGTTTAGTAATTAGAGATCAGGAAAAAGAGAAAGAGAATGAACAAGAGAAATGAGGAGAACATTTGTAGGAGATGAAAAACAAATCAGGAAGGGTGAGAGGACGAGAATAACAGCAAAAGGAATTAGGGATCTCAAAAGTGCCAAAGTCAATATTCAGGAAGGGTGAGAGGACGAGAATAACAGCAAAAGGAATTAGGGATGTCAAAAGTGCCAAAGTCAATATTAACATAAAAAAATAAATAAATAAATAAAGTAAATAAATATAGAAGTGAAATCTAGAAAAACGTATGAATATATATAAAAAAAAACATAAAAAAGGAAACTACTCATTTTAATTACAGGCCTGCTTGTCAGCCAAACTTGCAGTTAAAGTAATATGCACTACCTAAAAATCAGTGATTTTTGCTGAAACATTAAAGTGTGACAAACATGCAAAAAAAAAAAGAAATCAGGAAGGGGGCCAACACTTTTTCACACCACTGTAGTTAATAGAATAAACATGTTTATACTGTATAATTTGCACCAAAGATATTTTTTTAAGATATTGTTTTTGCTGCTAAATTATACAGTCAGCTAGTTTAATTTCAAAGCTTATATATTTTTATTCAAATGTAGTTTTTCTCTGTAATGAGGAAGTGAGTATTTAGTGGATTATGTTTAACAAAGGGTTTAAAAAAAGAGTGACCATTAGTTCCACAAACACAGTATTGATATTCTGTGGTGTAGAAAAAAAAAATAGCTGGCTTGGCCGATTCTTAGAGTTTGGAATACTCTATGTAATCTTACACTGCAAAATAATAACTCAAAAAAGATTAAAAGATAACATCATAATTATTTACTGAACCCTTAATTTAATCACAATTATATAATGAAAGCCATAAAAAAAATAGTCAATTAATCGTTATAATCGGCAATTCGGCATAATCAACATAATCGCCAAAGCCCTAAAACAGACAATTAATCGCAATAACTGTGACTATTTCTAGGCAATTAATCGTCAGCCAAATTTCATAATCGTGACAGCCCTATCAAATAGAAAACAGTTATTTTAAACTGTAAAAAATATTTCACAATATTACTGTTTTTATGATATTTTTGATCAAATAAGAGCAGCCTTGGTTGGTAAAATATGGTGAAATGCGTTAGAGCTGAAAGTACTACACTATTATTATCAGTAGGGAAATGCACAAATATATATTTCACAAATTGATTAGTCATTGACTGTCTGAATGATTTGTCCTTTATCATTAGGGGTCACTAGGCCTGATCACATGCACTTCTTATGAGTCACTCATATAAGACATTGCCTTCCGTTCAAAAAATAGCTAGCGCAATACTAATATTGACGCATTTTGAAACCAAGAACATGGAGACTTCTGACCGACATTTAACAAATAAACAGACTAATTATCCACCTGTTATTGCTCTAAACCATCACAGCTTGCCAGAAAACTTGTTGACCATCCTGCTCATCCCTAATTAATCACAGCTGAAAGTATGATCAAATTAAAGGGATTGTTCACCCAAAACTTAAACTTTTTTTTTTCATTATGTCATTCTAAAGTTGTACGACTTTATTAAATAGAACACAAAAGAAGACATTCTCAAGAATGTCTCATTGTCATTTTTGTCATCTCAATGGGGTCTAGTGAGAAATATCTTATTTTGTGTTTAACAGAAAAAAGTCTTAAGGGTTTGGAAAACAAGAGGATGAATAATTTTTTTATTTTTCAATTTTTGGGTTAAATATTCCTTTAAAATGGAAACAAACATGGAGGCACAGACAAAAAGTCAATAAAACAGAGAGGATTCCAGACAACTATGTGATGACGACAAAGACAACTGGAGGTAGGAACAAATACCAAAACAGTGAGTGGAAAAAGAGGAAGTACAGTGTTGAGTCAGCAAGTGAAAGAGAGATAACAAGTGATCGAAGTATAGCAAGAAAGAAGAAGAGAAACATAGAAACTTAATGCATTTTCACGCAGATGTGTAATGAGGCTGACCTCACACCACCCGTCTTTACACACAACCGCTACTGAGAAAGGGACAGAAAACATTCCACGTTTTTTCCAGTTGTCACATCTGTCAGAAAACCCTACAGGCAGAAGACAACACACAAGTCTCTCTTTCATAAGAGGTCTATTACGAGATCTGTTTTGAAGTTGAGGGTAAAAAAGCTTGACCCAATAAAAAATGATTCTTCTGCACAAGCCAATCCAGAAATGTTCAAGTGAACGTAAACCGCTGTCTTACCCAATAGGATAATACAGGCGGATCTTGACCAGGTAGAAGGTTCCAATGTTCAACTGGAGAGAAGAGTCCAGATGAAACCACTGGGACGGGGATGTATAAATCTCTCCTCCTGCTGTCTAAGGGGACAGCTTGTGATTCTCACTCTGTCTGTCCACGTCTGCGTCTGCCTGGCTCCAACAACCCTCACCATTCCCTGCCACATACAAAAACAAAAGAGGTTTACACTTAGACAATGAGGTCCGAGTGGCTGTGCTAAATTATATTACCCTATATTGCACTGCTAGACCAGAACTAAAACTGCATTTCTTAAACAGAAATTAGAGTTAACTGACTATATACAGTATCAATTTGAGAAAAATATGAATTAGTTAGATTTACTGTATAATAAAATAAACGTGTTCTGAAATCCTCTTATAATCCCACCATTACTCCTCTTGAATATGTAACCAAGGTAACAGGAGACTAGTTGAGAATGTACTTTAAATAGTTTCAGCCGTATGAACCAGCGAGATGCCTTAGGGTAGGGATTTCCTTTACTACCAAACTATTATCATCCATCGAAAAAATAAATAAAAAAGATCAATAATTAATCATTCAGTTAATTAGTCAATAAATCAATCAATAAATTGCTAATGTTACCCTTAAACATTTTCATAAAATGTTTTATTTTAAACACGTGTGTGACATATACTACATACATAGGGTTAACTTACGTATCTAATGTGACAGTAAATAAATTTATAATGTAACAAAAGATTTATTTTTCAAAAAAAAAATTCTATTCACAGAAGAATCCTGAAATATTCTGTTCTCAACACTGCAAATAATAAATTATTCTTGAGCAGCAAATCAGCATATTAAAATGATTTCTAAAGGATCTTGTGATACTGAAGACTGCAGTAATGATGCTGAAAATTCAGCTTTGACATCACAGAAATAAGTTACATTTTTAAATATAATCAAATAGAAAGTTATTTTAAATTGCAATAATATATGTGATATTATTACTGTTTTTACTGTAGTTTTGATCAAATAAAGACAATCTTGGTGAACAAAATCCTACTAACCCCAAAATTCTATATGTATATAATCTTTATTAAATTAACATTTCTCTGATTTCAGGCCAATAATAGTCTTTTACCACTAAGTGTACATTCCTCTACACAAAAGCTTTTTTTCCCCCTTAAATTGTCCGACCTCTTGGTCCAGTTTAATGGTTCGTTCCAGGGCTGTGAGGAAACACTGTTTAATCAGAATCACTCTCCTGGTCTCTGAAGCTCCTGGGGGAGACCGCATTCACAAAACAAACATTGGACACTATTTATAGATGCCTGTCGACATGGCAACCACTCTTTGTTTGTTTGAATCAGAAACTATTTCTCCTTTTTTCCCCCTCAAATGTTTCGCTTCTTGCTTCAAAGCAGGCGCTGGGACTTGAGACACTCTTGTCTCCATTTGCTCTGGTATGTTCCTTCAAAACAAGGGCAGGGTGGAGGTAATGCTCTGGCAGGACGATACGAGTGCTTTTGTGCATTTGTGTATGAGCTACTTGTGCTCTTAAAAACAGCTGTGTCAAATCTATTCTGAGTAAACCACAAATTAATCTTGTTTAGATGCCATCACCCATGGCAAGAGAAACCGATTTTAACCATAATGTATAAACCATTCAAGACTCGGAGCGACTTCCCACTCCTATAAAAGCAACGCAACTTACATAATACTCACTGTATAAGCTCAAACAGCTTATATATTTCAATAATTTGCAATATGCTCCAATTATATTGTTGTATAAATAGCATAATTAGTAGTTAATTCCCTCACTGGTGTGGTTCATGTTTAGAAGTCTTTATTATAAAATGATTTGAAATTCCTATGGAGAAAATGAATGATTTACATGATCTGTACTGGAGCCTTGAGTCCGCTGAAAGCAACAGTTTTACTTCTACAACACTGAAGAAGGGCTAAATATTTACGCAAATGTTATGATTTCATTACACCAAATACACAAAATAATGTTCTTTTTAGCAGCATCATATGACCCCTTTAACGATTGTCTGACGCCCCGCCCACTGTCCGTCAAACACCTCCCACCTCTTCCTTCATACGGGTTACACACATTACAGTTCTTACATACATTACATTACAGTATGACTTGATGAAGTTGATGAACTAAATAGTTAAGATTGACTGTTTAGTCATACTAAAAGTAACAGTTACTCATCTGGGGGCGTATTACAGAAAGTTTCTTATCTTAGGTCTTAACTTAAGATGTGATATGTTAAATTAGGATTTTTCAGAAATTCGTATTACAGAAGCAAATCTTAACTTGATTGTGGATTCTTATCCTATCTTACAAAATTGTATCTTATCTCTAGTTAGGAAATCTTAAATTGCATTATCAAGCTCCACAATCCACTCTCAGGTCTGTTACCAAGCAACCAACACTGTGCAAGCTGCTGATGAGGTAAACAAAATAATAGAAGCTACTTCACTTTGAAAATCGCCTTTTGCAAAGAACCTTAAAGGGGTCATATGATGCGATTTCAAGTTTTCCTTTCTCTTTGGAGTGTTACAAGCTGGTTGTGCATAGATAAGATCCCTGAAGTTGCAAAGACTAAAGTCTCAAAACCAAAGAGATATTCTTTATCAAAGTTAAG